CGACATCGTGCAGAGGTGGTGGTCTGACACGGAGGCCAATTTCCCGCAGCGAATGCCGCTCGCAAAGGACGAGGAAGAGCTGCTGCGATGGCTCGACGACCAGGTTTCTCGGGGCAAGGCGATGCCATTCTCGTCCTGTCGTGGGTCTTGGAGACCAGACTTTCTCATCAAAGACAGCCCGCCAGTGTTCCGTGAGGCGGCGGCTAATGGTGAGCCCGGTGAAGGCGAGGTCTTTTGCATAACCGAGATCAACGCCCGGTTTTCCTTTAACGGCTTCATGCATGAGGCTCTGGGCCAGGAGGCACTCGACGATATGGGCCTACACCAGCTTGGCCTGGCCAGCGCAACAAATTCAGCCCAGGTGAGTAAAAATTGTGGGGTTCTTCTTGCTTTCGTTTACTTGAGTTTTTCCTTTAAAGTGTTGGGTTGACATGCTTTCAATCCCCATTGTGCTGCAGGGACTAATGCATGCTTGTTCATATGCAGCTCTTGGACGGGTTGATGCAGCTGTTCCAGCCGGAGCTGCCTTTGCATCTGCTCCGAGGTGAAGAGCTGGGCATGGACATACACATGTTTGTCAACGTCATGCGGCGGCGGCGCCCTGGGTTAATAATGCGCCCAATCACGCCGGCAGACCTCAGACTGGTGCCCGACCCCGAGGGCAAGACTGGCTTCAAGCTCTGCTGCGTCGTGGGCAAGGCCGATCAATCAGCCACATCGTCGACTACGGAAGCCGGCGAGCTAGTCGAGGAGATTCACCAGCTGGGACTGGAGTTGCATCAGCGGGAGCTGGCGGGCCTGGAGCCAGAGATGCTGCGGCAAATCAGCCTTCGCTGCTTCAACGACATGCGGACGGTGCTGCTCGTCCACGACAAGAGGATGCTCGGCGTGGTCAAGCAGGAGCTCGACCGTCTTGTAAGCCGGGGCGTCCTTAGCCCGGCCCAGGCCCGCGTTCTCGACGCGGGCGTTGCAGACACCATGATCCCCGGCTCGCGGGAGATGAACGAGCTGCTCAGGCTGGCCCAGAAGGACCCTGACTCGAGAAACCAATACCTGCTCAAGCCCGTGCGAGGCGGCAAGGGAGCTGGCATCGTGTTCGGCGATGAGATGAACCCGCATGAATGGGTTGCCGCGCTCGAGCGCCTGCAGAGCCCCGTTCTCGTCCCGGGGGTCTCCTGCGTTGTGCAGCGCCGCATCAACCCCCGGCTATATGACGTGGTAGTAAAGGAATCTGACAGCAGGGCCCGGTATCCCTTGGTGGGCACATATCACGTCGTTCACGGCAAACTACTCGGTCTCGGTGTGTGGCGGACCGGGCCCGATCGAATTTGCGCCATTAGCACCGGAGGCGCTTGGATGTGCTCGGTTATTAGACAGGATTAAAACAAGATTCATAAAACGGCGTCTTTCTCATTGGTTCCTGCATCTCGCTGAATCCGTGCTTACTAGAAGCCGTGAATAGCCTCCCACTTCCATGTACGGAGTACGCCGCAGGTTGAATTGAACAGATGGCCACTTGTCAAGTGAACGCCCTCAGAGTCTGGTCATTTCGAAAGTTGATCGTCGACTCCAGAAAGGCCTTTGTTCGCTGGCCCGTCGAAGAGATTCGGAGCAACTTGGAAGACATGCATCTCTATGTCGGCATCAGCAATGTTGTTGTCACACTGCATTGGGAACACAAACTACTATTTGGCGCCGGCAATCCCAGAAACCTTGAGCAAATACCGATGTGCTACCAAGTGAAGTTAAGCTGCCAATGTACATATTTTCATTCACTACATCGCGCTATGGGGTGGGGAGAAGCAAAGTATCGTATGTGACGAGTCTCGCGCATGATGCTTTTTTTCCCTCCCATCGTCGCCGCCGAGAGAGTATGCCATGTCCAGCTAATGCAGATGCTAGAAACTAAAACCTGAAACAATTTAGTTGCTTTAATAAACCCGCTAGCCTATAATATTCCATACTCATGTTTCACGCTGCTAAAAAAATTCATCCTCTTGTCCCTATTATGCATGCATTCTTTGTGGCAGCGGTCTCTCCGGGAACCTAGTCTACCGCACGACATAGGACCACCTCGGCTGAGTCCAAGATGCAATGACGGCATAAGGTGAGCTGGAGAGTGGATTCACACGGGTCAGTCTGGCTTATGGCAAGTTGTTTCATTCAGGATGCGAGAAAGTCGACTACTTTTTTTTCGACATCAGGCGGTGTTTGCTAGCCGGTCTAGAAGACGGCATCAACGGGAGGGGAAATAGTTGATAATAGACTGGAGACGCTGACCACTCTTCGCAACATGGCCTATGCGTCATCTCTGTTTCGTTCCAATCTTACCGGTTCCTTATTTGACTCTTGACGTTTGATGCTGTGCAGACATTCGTGCGGCGCCTTCACTCGCCATGCATCAACAGCTTATACGCGGCGTCACCATACGCCCCCTCCGTCCCAGCACCGGCCTCCAACACAAAGCCATCACTCTCCCCCTCGGGCCAGCACCAAGACCAAGAGTCCAAGAATACAACTCCCTCAACCACCGCTCCCTAGCCACGGCGTCATCATCCATATCAGTCCCCCACCTCCGAGCGCCTAACCTCCTCCACGCCCGGCAGCCCAGCCACGTCGACCTCGTCGCTCACCATCTCCAAAGCCAGGGCATCCTCAAGGTGACGCTCGACTTCCCCGACCCAGAGAGCACATACCTCCAGCACCTCATCGCCAGTCTTCACCAGCACCACGGCCACAAGCTGCCCATCTCCCACAGTGCCGGCCGCGGCTGGTTCTGGGACGTGCGCCCGGCCGCATCCAACTTCCAGACGCGCAACCACCAAGCCCGCTCCGAGACCATGGCCGAGTTCCCCTGGCACACAGACTGCAGCTACGAGGATCCCACGCCGCGCCTCTTCGCCCTCCAAGTCCTCCGCCACGACCACCTCGGCGGCGGCACCCTCTCCGTCACAAACGCCGACCAGCTCGTCCGCCAGCTCTCCCCGCGCACAAGGCTGGCCCTCGCAAGGGACGAGTTCCAAATCGCCATCCCGCGAGAGTTCGCCAAGAGCCCCGACAGGACGACCATCACGGGCCGGCTGCTCTCCACGAGCCGCGGCCACGGCGCCCTGCGTTTCCGGCGCGACATCCTCACACCGCTGACGCCCGCGGCCGCACACGCCCTCGACGAGCTCGACGCCGCCCTGGCGCGGGTACAGGTCCTGGCTCCCCACGCGACGCTTCACCTCCAAGCGGCCGACCTGCCGAGCGGTTCCGTCATACTCGTCGACAACTTCAGATGGCTCCATGCCAGGAACGACGTCAAGGACCCGGCGCGGCACCTGCGCCGCGTCCGCTGGGACGCGGTCCCCTTTGCAACAAAGCCTTGACTTGCTTGGCTTGCGAGAAGGGTATAAAACAAAACCACCACCACCACCACCAGTCCAAGTGAGCAAAAAAAAATCGAGAGCTGAATATCCTCCGACTACATACAATGCCCCGGTCCTACATACACCGTCCGGACATGATTTATCCGCGTTTCTCCACCTGCGGCCCGCCACTTTGCCCAACGAGGCAGGCGCGCTTTCCCCGTCCCAGCGGAACCCGCGTCCGCTCAGCTGCACGCCAATCCGAAAAGATGGTGATTCTCCGAATCGAGCAAGTGTAGACTTGATAAAACAAAAATAAAGACATCCAAAAAAAAAAAAATTTTAAATTGCACATCTAGCCTTGTCATATGCCCACCTAGTGAATTGGCTCAGTATACCACTTTCCCCAAAGGGTCTCAAGCAAAATAAAACAAAGGGGGGAAGGGGGGAGTAGAAAAAAAAAGGGGGGGGGATATCCAAGTGCCGCCTTTGCCGTCCATTACTCGTACAATCTATAGCACTACCAGTTCTATAGCAAGGGTTCGTCCGCGCCGGGGAAAAAGGGGCGGAGAGGGGGGGGGGGGGGGGGGGGGGGGCCAACGAGAATACACACCCTCGTAGCGTTGGTATAAAATGCCATGTTGTTTCCTTCCGTCATTCTTTGTTCTTTTTCTCCTTCTCCCTCGCAACCCACAGCATCAAGGGTTTGCCACCTCGCAGTCATCTACAACGGACGCAAATCATCCGGGCAGCCAGATGCGTCCATGCCGCTGTCCACTAGTGTGGATTCGGCCCCGCGGGCCGACCCGACGCTAACCCTCGCCAAAGGAACAAAAACATAAGGGCAGACGAAATCTTCACTGTGAGCCAAACTCCATCTTCAAGTCACGACGGGACGGGAGATATATGACATGACATATCGCATTATATAAAATCGCCAAAGACAACTTGTCCAGCGTCGCTGTCTCTGAAAATAAACAGCATAGGCTCTGCCAATAGAGACATGTAAGGCGCAACATGGACATGTCACTTCCTTAACCACTTCCCCATCTCAACTTCGCTATTCATGAGGTACACATCAGCCCAGTTATTGAAAAAAAAAAAACACTGGCTTCAATCCTAGCACGCATTACAAGTGCCTGGTAGGGAGGACATAGATGATCCAATTCGCAGAAAAAGCATTCCAAAAGTTGCAAACGCCGGTGCCACTTGCCACTAGGAAGAGAGCCTCGAGACTCTTTCATGGCAAGTTATCCAGCCACTCCACTCCCCCATCCATCCGTTCCCTTCCCTCTTCCCAAGAAAACAAAACAACATCAAAAATGGTAGTAAAAACAAAAAAGTTTTCTTTTTGTCGCCAAATCACTCCAGAGTGCTTGTGTCCGTATGCGTGCCGGTATCATCAGTTGGGTATATATCCTGAACGCTCAAGTGCCCCAAGCGACACGAGCCCAAGTAGAAAAAACTAGAAACAGAAAAATAAACACAAAGCACAAAGCAATTGCATCTTGTGCTTTGACCACATCAGAGTAGGGACACGGATTACTTTGGTTCTTTGGTGTCGCCAACATTCCCAATACTGCCTCAGTCGCTTGTGCGTGAACATGCCACATGGTCGACTCCATCCATCATGGATCGATCAATAAACCATCAGGTGCTCATTGAGTACATACTCATATCAAGCTGGAATGGTTTCGAAAAGTCGATATCAATGTCCTCCCAGTCTGGTGGGGCCCTTGATGGAGGATCCAACAGTAACGTCGGGTCAAGGCCGCTCAAATCCCCTTCCAAAGACGCATTGTTAAGGTCCAGGAGTAGGTCGGTGTCAAATGTTTGCCACGTCATATCAATCTCAAGCGCCGCCCCTTCCGAAATGTCGCTGTTTGGCTCGCTCGAGCCGCTATCCTTGCTGGACTCGGGCGTGTCCTTTGGGGTCAAAGAGCGGTACAAGTTGGCGTCGCTGATTATGGTGGGCAGTCCGTTTTCAAAACCAAGGTTGCTCAGCAAGGCCTGAGGATCAATGGTGCAACCGGCCCAGGCACTCGGCGTGGCTTGCTTGGATCCTGGGGCATCCGATTTCGACTTGCCATCCGCACTCTTGCTCAATGCACTTCCAGTCCTCTTCATAGCATTATCCTGTGATATTGGTGTTCCTGCAACATTCTTGGGTGTCTGACCCTGCTTCGATGTTGATAGGCTCATCGCAGTTGCACCATCAGCTGGTTTTTTATTCTTCTTGAGGCTGCCATCAGGTTCCAGGCCAAGAGCAAGCGCCAGATTTTCCTTGACGAACTTAACGGGGTCTTCCCTGGGTTTGGTATGCTCCTCTTCAACATGTTGCTGCAGCGCTTGTTCGCTTGGGAAGCCGAACGAGCCCGTTTCGCATTCTGGCTCTTTGCAGAGGAACACTGGCTTGGGAGGCTCCTGGCGTCGCATTTCTGGCGAAGCATTCTTAGCTGTCTTTGGTGAAGGAGTCGCGCCTTGCGGCGTCTGTCCTGGCTGCTGGCCGGAAACTTTCTGCTTCTTGCGAGAAGCTGGCAACTGAAGATTCATAACATCTTTGGGCTTGCCAAGATAGCTAGGGTTTCCATGAGGTGATGAGGCCCCAAAGGAGAAAGGAGGCTGCGTAGCTGTCGGCGCGGGAGGCACTGAGGCCCCACCTTTGCTGGCAGACTTTTGCTGGTTCTTGAGTGCCTGCGAATTCTTTTCTAGATTGGCCGCGTTCAGGGGTGCAGGTTGAGACTGCTGGTTTTGTTGCTGGGCCTGCTGCTGTGGCTGCGGTTGCTGCGACTGCGCGATTTGATTCTGACCAGCTCCTTGGCCTTGTGGTGCTTGTTGGCCCGGCTTCATCATTCCTCTACCGTACATGCTGGCTGCTAGGTCCTTTGCCATGCTCTCCAACATAGCCCGAGCTTGATCAATTTCTGCGGAATTGATGCTAAACTTGTCTTTCAAAACTTTCATTGCCTCGCCGTCAGAGAATTGCTTCATGATACGAAGTCGCTACAAATCACGGGTTAGTGCACAAATTCAGAAACAAATTAGATTGGCCAGCACAAGCCATAGTGCCGAAACGAGGAGTATGATTTCGGCCACTTACAGTTCGGAAAAACATCTTGGCTCGGGCATCATCCCTGGTGATCGAGTACCATTTGGTGAGCCCCCGGCTAACCTTGTTCATATCTTGGGCAATACGCTGGAGTTTGACCCCCGTTTCGACGAGTTCCTGCGGATTCATTGACATTTCAGGCATAGATTCTTGACTGAATTGGCGCTGCTCCTCTTGGCTGATGGCCCGAAGTCGGGCAAGGGCGTCGGCAGTAGGTTGCGAACCCACATTTCCACCCTGGGTCTGACTGGTCAACTGAAGCTTTATGAATTGCTCATATTTGGCGCGTTGTTCAGGACTGAGTGTTGCAATTTTCTGCGGACTGAGCGTAGGCACCTGCTTCGGCATCGACTGATTAGGCTGTGAGATAGGCCGAGTGGGTGCAGGAGTGCTTGTGTTGGACGTCGTTGCTGTGTCCGCGGCGTCATCGGTACTAGGTCGCTTGAGGCTCTTGGGGGTGGGTTGAGTTTGGCTGTTAATCCGTGCTTGGGCATTCGCCACTTGGCCTTGCTGTCTCTGCCCGGAGGGCTGCATCGAGGCGGTTTGGGCCATGGTCACAGGACTGGGTTGAGTCTGCGATTGAGGGGTTCGGTTTGGCGGCTGTGGTGTTTGCTGCACTGGCACCGGAGCAACACCTAGTCGGTTTTGTGCACCACCAGCTTGCTGCTGTGCTTGGTTCGGCGTCTGGTTAGGGGTCTGGCCCTGCGGCTGCCGATGACTCATCTGTTCAGCTTGTTGTTGTTGTTGCTGTTGCTGCTGCTGCTGCTGCTGGAGGAAAGCCTGCCTTTTCAAATGCAAAACCATTGCTCGTAGCTGGTCGTCTGGCAAATGGCTGAAGTTGGATCGTTGATTTCGTACTTGCATGAGCTCCTGTGGCGTTACCTGGAGAACATGGTTGGGCAAGTTCACATTTCCAACTACCCGCTGCATGCCCATTTGTTGGTGATTGGGCATCTGCCCTCCGGCGGTTGGCATCGTTGTGGCATTGACGTTAGGAGTTTGGCCAGCTTGCTGTTGCATCGATGCTCGTCGTTGCATGAGAATCTGGAACTGTCTCTGTTGAAGCGCACCAAGCTGGTTACGAGTTGTTGGGGGCAAGGTGCTGTTCTGACTGAGCCAGATCTTCAAGTCTCGCCACTTCTTTACCTCAATGGGCAGCTGTCCGACGATGTTCTGAACATGTGGTGGAAGGTCCATAGCGTCCATCATTGCTTGGGCCTGATTATTTTGGATTGGAATCCGCGGCATCTGCATCTGTTGCTGCGGCTGTTGTGGTTGGTTGATAGGCACGCCTCCATTAGGCTGCTGCAGGTTCTGAGCTCCTTGCACAGTACCCATGTTCAAGTTCATTTGCCCTGCAAACTGGTTTTGTGGTCGATGCTGCTGGCTCATTGGGCCAGCATTCATAGTCATCTGCTCCTGTCGCTGGCTCTGCCACTGTCTAAGGACCTCGTTTAGCTTGTCAGGAGGAAAGCCTTGGATTGCCTGCCGTTGTTCTGGAGACATGTTGGCCAGCATGTTGTTAAAAGCTTGGTTGTTGGGTCGCTGTGTACCTTGATTGAAACGCTGGTCACCGAATGCAACATTACCTTGGCCCATACCTTGACCACCCATGGGGTTCATCCCGCCTGGCGGACGAGATACTGGCGTGTTCAAAGTGTTCATTGCGGGACTCTGTGAAGGAGGCATGCCACCAGTCATACCGTTTTGGGGGTTCTGCTGTTGCTGCATATTCATCTGTAGCTGATTTTGAGACTGTTGGGCGGCCTGGTTCATCTTCATTTGTTGAAGGTTGACACTGCCCTGCGGTGGTTGCTGCTGCTGGCCCTGACGAGGTGTTTGATTCTGTCCTTGAGCACCCGGCATATTTTGGTTGCCAGGCTGGGGAGTGGCATGTTGGGCGCCTCCTGAGCTAGCTGGTACAACCATCTGGCCAGCCTGCTGGGCCATGAGTCCAGTCATCTGCTGGTCCTTGATGCTCTCCATGTTGGGTGTGAATTGGGGAAAATCGTTAGGCTGTCCGGCGTTCATCATATTCTGCCGTTGCTGGAAGGATTGCTGGCTGTGTTGTTGCTGCATCATGACTGCGGTTGCTGCCTGTGCGCCATTCTGGTTCTGTGCTCCAGCCTGTTGCTGCGCCTGTAACCGATTCATGTTATTCTTCAAAACCTGGAATGCCTGATTCTGGAAGAACAAAACCAAAGGGTCCTTTCTTTGGGCCTGGAATTCTGCTAGTTGTTGAGGAGACAGTCTCTGCTGTAAGCTCATTCGCGTGGACGCCTTTTGCTGGTCAGAAGTCTGGGCCATCATCTTAACCGCAAGGTCCATAACCTTGGCCCTATCCGACTGGGCGAGTCGTGACATATCGTTGGGAAACTGCTGTGGCTGCCGATTCTGCATCGCCATGGCTTGTTGGGTCGGTCCCATAGCCCTGCCCATACCTATCTGCTGTTGCTGAAGCTGAGAGTGTTGTTGCGCCTGCTGAGGCAACTGCCCAGGTGGCACCTGATGCTGGAGATGTTGAAAACCCTGTGGCACCTGGCCCATACCACGGCCCATCTGGGCCGCTTGCATATTCATCATGGCCTGTGCCTGAGCTTGTGCATTGGCATTTAGATTGTTTTGGATGTTGGGCTCGTTTGCCTGTCGCTTTTTGAAGAACTCTAGTGTCTTATTCGCCATACCCTGATCATATACCTCCTAAAGCGGGGTTGTTAGTCGGCGGACGTCTCGAGTCAAAGCAGTAACGAGGCGTATGAAGCCCTTGGTACAAACCTTGCTAGATGAATCCATAAACGTTTTACGCTCAAATTCGCAGCCTGCTTCCGCGGCTTGCACGTGGTCCATATTAGCGACCCCCAGCGCGATATTTGAGATGCTAGAAAAGCAGTTAATTTCCTGTTCGCCGCAGGCTTGACGATAATTGGGCAGCCACGTGAAGTCAAGATAGTTGGGCACCTACAGGTCCATAGTCTTCCCCATGCGGTCGTTCAGGCTAACGTTGCCCTGCCAGGTTAGCCCATTTGGCGGTTGTGAGTGTTGAAGGAGCTTTTGATACACCAGTTGCTGGATCTGGTGAGGATTAGTAGTCGGCCGTCGCAGCTGCTGGGGTATCATCTGGCCTGCCCCAGCCATTTGCTGCATGTTGGCGGCCATGGCCGCTTAAACTGCAGTTGGCACGACCCCAGGAAAATGTTCTCGCTTAATAACCGAAACCAACGCCTAGTATAATAGTAATCGAGTGCGTAGTTGCTTTTGTTGCCGCACGCCTAGCTGCCCGGGAAGTTGGAGGATGGAAGCCGAGGGGACCCTGCTTGAAGCACGCCTACGTGACCAGATGAGTGAAACGCTGGGATGGCGTGAATACTCGGCAAGTCAAGTTGCAACAAGATCCAACAGTAAGACGAGATGATAGAGTATATAGTTCAAAAAAAAAAAAACCTATGCCATTACACAATGGCAGATTCGGCAACCGTGGGGTACCGTGGGACAGAGAGATTCGTGTTGCACGGGCACAGCGAAGGGGAAAACGGCTCGGGGCTTCAATGTCTTATTGCCAGTCGAAAAGGATGTTCGGCGACCAAGGTGCTCGCTGCTCGTAAATGAAAGCGTGGAAGAGGCACTCGAGTGCGAGTCACCAGGTATTCGTTTACACCGCCACTGAGAAGACGAGGACGGTGAATCGTGGCGGCGCTCGTAAGCCAGAAGTAGAGTAATGGCTGCTCGTGACGGATGGGATAGCCCAGCATGTATCGAGCAGAATCAGTAGGCAGCGCCGAATCGCTGTGCAACACGGGCACAAACAAGTACAGGCACGCAAAGATTATTGTCCGTTCAGATCAGTCTATGCGGATCACGTTTGATGTCCCCGTTGACGAGCGGAACGTCGTGGGAGGTGGCCGAGAGCCAGCGTGGGCCGCAGTGAAATCGACGATGATGTTTTGGAGTGTGTCGGAGGGCCTGGGCAAAACCCGCGAGGCTAGCCAAAACAGCGTAAATCGGAAGGAAGAACGATGAGGGCAACGCGCAATTCGATGGCTAAGCGTCGACGACGTACTGCCAAACGAAAGAAAAAAATGGTGGCAGAGAGCGTGTGTGTAAAAGAATACCACCGTCGCCAACACGAACCTCGAAGGTTGTGGGTAAAGCAGTGGAAGGAGGGTTGGAGAAACAGGCGGCGCAGGGTGAGAAAGGCTGGTGCGGCGATAGAGAGAGATGTCGAGAGGCACGCTCGAGCGAGGAGCGGTAGCAGCCTGGAAGAGGGCGGGCGGGCCAAGACGAGGACCCCAGAACCACCGACCCGGCGGGACCCAGAGAGGAAGAGAGGCGGCGAGTGACGAGGGCACACTGGCGTGCTGCCGCAGGGGGTGGGGTGCGAGAGCGCGAGAGCGTGAGTGACAGGGTGCGGGTGCAGAGAGACCTGAGGGCTTCAGGAGGTACACACTACTCCTACTCGGTAGTCCGTCCCATATTGTTTGCACTTGGGTATTCTCGACCGAGCGCCAAACAGCATCACATTATACTACGGCGGCACACCGCGCCCGCTGAGAGGAATCTTAAAAGTCTCCAACAGTGCACCACCAACTGTCAAATGGAATCGGCCCTTGGGATCGATATAATACCTGCCTTTGGTTCTGCCGTGAAAACGTCAACGGGTGTGTGGTGGCGTGCCAATACGTCCAGGTACGGAGTACCTAAGTAGTATGTTTTACGAAGGCACATGGGGGTGTGTCGTTTTGCACTGACGGTGTGTCCACAGCCGGTGTGGCTCCAGAAGTATTCAAGTACTAGTAGTAGTAGTAGTAGTAGTTGGTGCATCAAAAGCTGGACCGCTTCCGCTGTGCCCTGTCCACGCGGTTGGCTGAAACGACGCCAGAACAGCAAGCTTTGACAGCAACTTTGCGAGCACTTTGGAGTCATCCTCTGTATGTATACTTGGGAAATAGATTCAATTGCTTAGTGTGTAGCCTGTCAGGGCGATAGCGGCGGTGATGGCCATGATGAAAGGCATGGCCAGCCGATGGTCGCAGTGATGTTGAGAGAGAACAAACGCCCAGCACTAGAAAGGCGTGGTGGTATACGGTGAAACTTGGGGAGATAATCCATCGACTGGCTAACACAGTTTGCTTGCTGACCCGTTGAAGCCAATAACCCGGGCCATCAGAGTGAAGCAAAAGGCGAGAAGAGGGTGAAGCGTCTCTCTACGACCAGGGTAACATTGGCGAGCTGATAGGACATGACGACACACAATCGCATCTACAGTCCCAGTGCTGGCACTCAGGCTCAAGCATTGAACAGAATGGTCTTTGGCTACGAGGTCATTCCACCTTTGCATTTTGTGTCGCCTTTTCTTTTCCGCCTTCTGTCTCTTCCCCGCCGCCTCTTTGTCTGCATCCTCACCCTCAGTCCTATATATCTTCATACATGCACCCGTGCCAAAACTGAGATGGCAGGCCCTCCTGGGTCAAGCTATCAGGATGAGCCCGGCCTTGTTTTCGTTTTTTTTTTTTTTTTTGTCTCGTCAATGGGGGAAAAATCACAACAAAGCGGTTCACGTGTTGATACACGGAAAGATTTCGCGGCGATACATTCGGAGGTGCTGGCTAAGATCGCTTTACCCACTTCACCGTCCCAAGACTTAACCCGGTGTCTGTCAAGAAACTAATAATATTAGGAGCTCCATTGTGGGTTTGATGGTAACGTGGGGGGGGCAGACAACAACGAACTCTGTTTTAGACTACATGCTGTCAGTGCAAACTCTCATAAGAAGCCAAGCAAAAAGGCACCGAATGGCGCGTTGCCATAAACTTTGGCGAATGTCAAATTCAAAATGTCTTTTCCATTACACCCTTCTCCTGTCGACCTAGCAATGCTCTGGAGCAGAGGCCTCTTGAAGTGGGATGGCTAGTGGAAGCCTTACTTGGGTTGCAAAGGCGCCTTCGTCGTCCCTACTCCGCTACTCCGTTCTGCAAAGAGGATGCCAAAATGGCGAGTGTGCATGCTTTTTCACCCAAAACCACACGACACACAAGCCCGACTTGGGACAGGGACTAAAGGGCGGCAGCGGCTCTGGATTGGTGTCGGGTGGATCTACCGGGGGTCTTGAGATCCTGGCCCTCCTGGACATCCCGGCAGCTCAGCGTGGATGTGTGTGTGTGTTGCCTCCTGCCGGATACTCGAATAGGAGTTGGAGATGTCTGGTGTCTAGCGTCGTCTGGTGCTGTCTGGCGTTGTTTGGAGCACCATTCATTGCATCCTCCACTGTGTATCCAACTGCCATGCCATCGTGTCCGGGATGTTGGTGGGTGGGCCGACAGCACGCCTCTTCGGCTCGTCTGGGCTATCTGGGCCACGATGCCTAGATGTCTAGATGTCGTCTGGGATGGACTTTTTAGTGTTTCGCACGAGCACTGACTGCAAAGGGCTGGCCGCACCACCGTGTACCCTTGTCCAATCTACTAGTACCCAAGTGTGCACTTACATTGATTGCTATTGTATGTACGTATGCACAATACAATCATAGGTGACTACCTGGTAGGCAGTCTGGCCATCGGCCCCCGATTTGTATTTTGGCAGTGCCTTGGACCCGTGGTATCTCGACCCGATGCAGTCGACCACTGACAGTGGCATTGCTCAGAGGCGAGGGACAGTCCCAAGTATTTGCACAGAGTTAATAGGCGGAAGCCTTCTTGGCGCTCGACTTTGAAAATCTGTAGCAGGGGTTTCCTTGCCTCCCTTGCCTCTCTGCCACCCCTCAAGTGGTGGTGGCATTCGAGGCACTGATGAAGCCCCGTGACGTCTCTGGGCTCTGCGGCAATCTGGCAAGCCCTCGGGACACTCCTGCCCCATTCCAGAAGCTGGCAGGTAATCCAGTGCCTGCTAAAGCTGGTTGTTTCTAGCGCATGTCCATTCAATGTTGCTTCAATGGTCACGGAGAAGAGAAGTGAGTAGTACGGGGGGCAGTGTTGTAGCATATACTAACTTGAAAGCAGGTCTGGTTGAAAATATTTCCATCAACTACTAGGTACTCCGAACCTAGGTAGGACTTGCGTACTTGGGAAGGTGGATCCGCCATGGCCGGCCATGGTGTGGTTTGTTCCTTCCATGGCGAGACTTTCAAACACCAGTCAACTGGTCTGCAAGGCTGCATGCACATTCGCCATTCGTAGAGAGAGTGTGGTCGACCCGGTTGCACTTCTCAAGTCTGCAAGTCTGAACTGCCAACATCATTTCCATCATTCTTATCATCATCATCATCATCATCACCACCGCGGTTAATGTCTGGTTCGACAGTTCGTGTAAAAAGTTCGCCGCACATTTGCGCTCTAGCAACTGTGGGTGAGTGGCCTCCAAAGCTCCTGACTTGTAGACGCCAGTCCGGGGTGCTCTTGGTCAACTCGGTCACGGTTCGGTGAAAAGCCTCATAAAGACTGCTGCCGAACGTTGGTCTGGTTCCTGCTCAAAACGTTTAGCTCTTCAACATTACGCCCTGCTCATCTCGCCAAACCTGTCGGGGCCCTTTGCATGGGGTTTCTGAAAACAACCTGGCCGGCATCTATCAGATTTGAGAAAACATGCATTTCATCACGGCTACCCGATTATCCAGAGACAATTAAGCCGGGAAAGACTGCTGTTTGTTGCCTTTTCTCTTCTGCTCGCCCATGTAGGCCCGATTTGAACCATTCCAACTATTCCACGATTTACCACGTAGGCTTCGTGGCGGCCAAGAAGCCCCATCGATTTTACAACACCGACTCTTCCTGCGCGCGCTCTGGGACCCTCTCAAACAACTTTACGACGCATTGTCCGATGGAGGACTTCACGCCTTATTTTCAATCATCTGCCGGATTTTCTCCCGTAGGATTGGGAACGGTCTTGCCGACATATTCTCACACACAGTGGGCAACACGTCAGACGGCCAGCACTGGGCAAGGCCTTCGCACTGCGATGCTTGATTCTCAGGTATTACTCTGTACCTTTCAGCACGAACAGGATTGGGCCAGTCTGGCCTCCCTTGCCGACATCGATCTGGGATACCCATGTCTAGCACAACACACCACATGGGTCGATTAATGTCACGGCTCAACTTTCCAACCGCTGGCCTTGACGACCCCTTGGGGCACGTTGATGTTTCCCTAATAACGAAGAACCACCAA